CGACTTCACGGATACCCCGTGAAACCGAATCCGACCGTGACCCTCAGTTCACGGCGGAGTTTTGGCAATCCGTGTTCCAATCACTTGGAACGCGGTTGAAGGTGTCAACATCTGACCATCCCGAAACAGATGGTCAGACGGAATGTGCAAATTGTGTCCTTGAAGAAACCCTTTGAGGATATGTCAAATCGTTCTCGAGCTGGAGCGAATTCCTACCCCTGTTGATATTCGCCATCAATATTTCGGTGCGTGTTGCAACTAAGCACACACAGTTCTTCGTGAATGGCTTACGCCATCCACGTCTGCCCTCCCTGTTAGAGTGTGAATCTTATAAGGGGGGGTAATCGCTCGAGAAAAAACCGTTCTGGCTCTTGCTCATCACGTGTCGACGCTATCGTCGTCACAGTTGATGCCGATGTTGATTAAGTCGACATCGATGAAGAAGAGCATCCCAATAATAGCGATGACGCTATTATTGAGTCAGATGGTGACGACGATGCTGGTATTCTCAGCATCGCCAACGACTATTCCAGCGAGGATGATGACACTCTCGCTGATGAACAGAAAGAGGAACGGACTCTTTCTGCAGTTCGCACATGGCGAACTGAACAAAGCAATGTCGAGTCAGCAGAAAATTTTCTACCGGCTCGTATAGTAGTGGTCCCTGATTTGCGCAGTATTCCATCTCTTACGCGGTGGACAGTCAGAAACGGAACGCTGACAAGAATGTAAGAGCATTTATACATTCATTTGTCGAAGGTGACTTAGTCCTACTATCTACGGTAAATCGAACTAGACAGTAGTGACCGACGTGGGCAGCAGTAATTCACTTCTCAAGTACATCGTCCCATTTCGTGTGCTGATCCAACAAGGCAACGCATACACGATTGAGCTGCCACGTAGGATGCGAGCACATCCTACACTTTTGGTGGTACATCTCCGCCCGTACTGTCAGTACTAGCCCTCTTTCGACGATGAAGATAGCCCTCACGTCCAAGAACCTCGATCAGGTTCTTGCGCTCGCGCTCCAGACGATCAGTCTGGCCGCGCATTAAATAGAGCCCTCCATGAAGCTCAGAGATCTCTCTGCGAGCTATTCCTAGCTCTTCAACGAGGAAGCGGAAATCGTGCTCGACCCAAAGTTGTGCGAGGGCGTAATCGGCACGATCATTCGCCCGATCAGCCTCACGATCCTTGCGGTGCTGCCGGACAGAACCGGTCAGAGCGTAGCGCCTGTCCCTCTCGTGTACAATATCCTCGCGCAATTGAATAATTGCGCGATCCACCTCGTATTGGATAATATGGTGAGTCGAACTACTTAGAGGAGGGTTTTCCTCCTCCTCTACATCCTTTGATGGACTCACAAGGTGGTCAACGTTTCATTGTGAAGCGTATCTTGAACCACCGTGAAAATTTAGTATCAAGGACGAGTTACCTCGTCCAGTGGCGGAGTTACCCACCCTCGTGAAACATCTGGGAGCGGGGCTCCCAGATAATGATAGATGAGCCCGGTATCGTCGAATAGTACGACGAGACCCACCTTTTGACGGATGGTCATCGTCGTAAGAATACCCGGCGCGTTTGTTAAGGGATTTTAAAGTCCCAATCCCTTGGTAGATCTCGGAAGAGATGCGCGCCCTCCAGTAGAGTTGGTTTGGGAGGTATGCCTCCCTAGGGGCGCGAACAGAGTTGACAATACAAATCTGACTTTCTCTCCCCATGAGAGGCAAGGTAAACTTGCCTCTCGATACAATCGGTGCAACTTAGAGCGAGCACTGGTTAGAGACTTCTGCTCAAACTTATTGAGAGCTGCAGTAAGCTTGTCCAGCCATTTGTCACGGCCAACATTCTCAATGTTGCCGATGAAAGAGATCCAAGCCTGGACCAATGAGAAGTCGTCTCGTACGTGGGCAACGTATTACCATCGATGTCTGAAAAAGACATCGGTGTAAAAATTATGCTCAGTTCGATAATATTTCGCACTGGGATCAAGTCCGTGGATCCTTGACGAGTCAAAGAGTGGAAATCAAAAACTTATAGTGGTATAGCCATACCACTCTTTCAACTCGCTTAAGGTAGACATCAATGGCTTGTTCTCAGGAGTAGATCGTTTCAAGTTGCGATACTTCTCCTCCTGCGTGGTGCCAACATGAGATCTGGCAACACGATCGCCGCAATACCTAGTATAGCTGCGGCTATGGCCACGATGACTCCGCGAAGAGTCATCGACATTCTCATGAGGACTTACGTTCTCATGTTTTACATTCGCCCGGTACGAATACGAGCGCGATCGGTTCGATACCGGCGACGAGCTCCCAGACTCATCGGATGAACCGAACATCTCAAGGCGCAAGTCTTTATCGAGACTGCCGCGAGGAGTAGCAGTAGTCGTTTCCGCAACCGTACGGTCGGGCTTTGCGGACGGCTTTGAGTCGAAATAATCCGACTCGCCCAAACAGATGACCTCTATCTCGGGATCTTAGTCCATGGGACTACGACCCGCAGCTTCGGCTGCGGGTGAAGAAGCTGCGCGTGGATGACCACGTGCTCCTGCAACTATGGGTGTTGCAGGCTGCTTTCTGGCAGCAGCAGGTTACTTGACACCTGCTGCTGAGTATTGGGCAGCTTGTTCTCCGGCTACACGCATCCGTGCAGCCGCTTCAGTCGCGGTCTTGTTCGCGCAGCGCATGGACGGAATCGTCATGCGCTGAATAGCTGGTATGAGAGGAAACACCAACAAGCGCTCCCTACCCCAGAGCTACACGACGGTAGTCGCTTTGTCACCAATCAAAAATCACTCACTATAGTGACTGAAGGTTGAGGGAAAGGTGATGTAACGGGGTGAGCCCGTTTCTTAAAGATTGATAGAAAGTATCAAGTTTTGAGTATTATCTATTTTGACAATATTTAATCAACATCTCTCGAGAAGAGGTGATGTTGTCGGAATATTACCCCCTAGGGTAATATTCGTGGGTGCTCCACTTCTTGGTTGATGTAACATCTACATCAACCAAATCAACCACCAATCGCTGCTGGACGCGCGCAATGGGTGATGAGCAAGAGACCCACTTAAAGGATGGTGGTTTAATATAGTTAAATTAAGACGAAAGATGATATAGTAAGAAGCTTAACTATATCAAATAAGAGTTCTACTTTTTCCCTTAGACAGAGCTTTCGAGTTCTGCCTACTTCTCTGCGCATCCTCGCCACGTGTACGTGACATCGGGTGCACACAACATTGACACAAGGCGTGCTTCGTTACGATAGTGGCGATGATCAATGGACGTACGGAGATTATATTGCATACGAATGAGCATCATGTGAGCTTGTTGGATGGAGTACTGCCGACATAACAATACGTTGGCTGACTAGTCTTGTTCACCACAAGAAAAGAATCAGTCCTACAGAAAGAAGTACTATCGCTCGATGTCACGGTTCGATACCTCACGTAACAACGACACTTACAAGACCCTGTCTAGAAATAGTCATTGCCGACAATGCTGAAGGCATGAAAGACGTAAAAGCCTTGCAGAACATCCCAACTGATTTGTGCAGATGGTCGGTCATGTAGAATCCGTGGTCTGATTCGTCTCTACGACGACATTCTGGGACCCATCTCGAGATACCTCGATTTCTTTCGAAAAAAATAGCAGATCTTTACAAGAGTCTAGCTATGCACGTGACAACTGGTCGTGAGGTTGTGGTTCACTCAACACGGCAAGCGAAGAAGAGAAACGCAAGCAGAAAAAGTTGGACCGTGTTTGACGTTATTTTGTGAACTCGCAGAAAATTAGCGTATTGAGCACCACATTTCGTGGCGTTACATCATCCGATATTCAGTCGATGATTTGGACCAAGTGCAGTTTACTCCATGCTGGTTCGCAACAGACTGCAGGTAAGCGCCACGAAAGAAATTAGCTCAACCCCAAGCTGAACTCCCTATATTCACGACAGGCGTAAATTTTCGACCAGCTATTTACGACCGCCATCAGCATCGATGAGTACACCTTGCCATACGTGTTTACCAGAAGCTACATAATGTCGAGGCCGGGGCCCGTCCAATCGAAACAAGTCTTGCTGAACTCGGCAAACTAGGACGCATGGCATCCGAAAAGACTAAAGCATAGCACGACCAAACAATGGGTGAGTTCGGGAATTGGATCACACAACGTGAATATGCACGCCGCGAACTCTAGCACATAACACTCCTCTATCCACTGACCTGGCACGTCAATCTTGGCAAGGGTCTCTTGCTCACACAAGGGTGCTGTTTGTCGCGCTACGCATTGTGGCGTTTTGAGACACTTGACGACGCTTACATGCATATGAGGAATTATATCAACTATCGACAGTTTCGAAACGATCGCCTTGACAATATTGCTGCCAGTGAGGGCGGCAGAGCCCTGCTCGCATACCATGAGAGCTTCTACTTACCAGAAGGACGAAGACACACAGACCATCGCTTTTTCCAACATGCCAAGTGTTGTGTTTCATCATCACTTTGCGATACGAAATGTGTAGATACTGATGGAAAATACTGCAGCACTGAAGCGGTGCGACACAAAGTACCACATTCGCTCGTGCTGCTGACAGCTGAGATCATCATTGGATTTTTACCGCTTACCTCACCGAAACGGTCAACATTCGACTTTTCCGCTACCATCGCGACATGGTACCAAAATTGCGATCATATTTATTCTCGTCTACAATTTATATGCGTTTTTCTCCTTTCTCTTCCGCATTTTCTTTTCGCGGTCGTCCAGTTGTACGATAAATCTCAAAAAAAAGTCTTGTCCCGACTGAAGAGTATCATCGAACACCCGCAGACTTACTTGACTTCACTATCGACGACGTTGCAAGCAAGAGACCGACTGTGACTGAACGTCGTCCGTCACGCTCGACGGTCTCGACGCCGTTCACTTGGCCTTTGTCGTTGTCCAGAAGCCGTGACAAGGACTGCGTGAACGAGGGAACGCTACGAGCGACTGCGACTCACAGCGATGAAGATGGACCGCGGGCCCAGCTACACCGAGTACGAGGACGTCGTCCGGGAGTCCGGAGACAATACTGGACAGCCAGCACACAGTTCGGAGGGACTTGTGAAGCGCATCAATGTACCCATTGTCACGGGGCGGATCATGGACCGGAAGGACAAGATGTTCCAGCGCTCGAAGGGGCAGTGGAAGTACGTGGCCGATCATCTCGTGGTTGTTGATACATATCATGTAGTGATGTAGCCATGACGGGTCACTCGTGGTACTGACCACGTCTTTTTTGTATGTATGTGTGTGGGTGTATTCTTGTTGTTCTTGCACTTGTTTGTTGTATGACTCTGTTGTTGTAGCATTCGTCGTCAAAAGGTGCCCAACTACTGGAAGCTTTACATGCAGGACCCGTTCCATACTGTTGTCAACATGCGGTTGAGCAAAGTGCTTGGGTCGCTCGTCTTTGCGGTGCGTTGTGATGATGAGTGGTAGTGATTCGTTGCAAAGCGATGCGAGGCACTGACGTGTGTGTGCTCTTGGCTGCACTTGTGTGCGTGTGGCTGTGATGGTCGTGTGGCAGTATATCGTTGTGATCGTCCTATTCGGAGCATTGTACATGACGCCCCCGGACCATTGCAAGCTCGCTATCAGCTCGTTCTTTGGTGGTTTCTCCTTCTCCGTGTCAGTGCTGTTCACCATTGGTTTCGGCACGAACGGCGGAGACGTGTTTTTTGGCGAGTGTATCTGGGTGCAGACGATCATCACGCTCGAGTCCTTCTGCGGCATCTTGCTCGATGCACTGGCCATTGGCATCATCTTCCAGCGGTTTTCACGCGCTCAGGCACGGGCCAACACCATTGTCATGAGCACGCACGCTTGTGCTCGTCGCATTCGCGGCAACTTGTACTTCATGTTCCAGGTGTGTGAGATGCGCAAGCATCAGCTTGTGGAGGCTCATGTGCGCATGTACGCCATCCGCCACGACGTGGAGTTCGGCGAGCACTACTATTTCCAGTCGTATCCGATGCGTATCCAGCACCCAGATGACGACCTCGGTGGCATGATGTTGCTGGCGCTACCTTCCGTCGTGGTGCATCGCATGGACGCCTGGAGCCCACTGCTCCGGCCGAAGAGCGCGGATACGTGTGGTGTGCACCACAATCCCGCCAGAAGCTACTTGTTTCCGGAACCGCTGTGCCGTGCGGCTGACGCACAGACTGGAGACCGCGATGGGTCCGTGCAAGTTGTCACAAAGTCAGAGCACAACACGTGCCGTTGCGCGGGTAACAATGCCGCTGCGAGCGACGTGCACGTTGAAGCGCAGCTGCCGTCTGTTGAAGAGATCAAGCAGTACTGGGCCGAGTCTCAGGTACGACCAACTGCGTTGACCACGAGCTTGTTTTGTTGCATGAAGCCTAACGATGCGTATACGTTTGTTGCCTGGTCGTAGATGGAGGTGGTGGTGCTTGTCGAAGGTATTGACGCCGTCACGTCGACAACGATCCAAGTGCGGCATTCGTACAAGGCCGAAGACATTATGTTTGACCACCGCCACGTGAACTGCGTCGATGTGGATCCAGCGACGGGCGGCGCTGTGATTGACTTCAACCGCTTTCATAAGACAGCGCCTGTGGATCCCGAGTGCAACAAGGTGGCCGGCAGCTTTTACTGACGCTGCTGGAAGGGCAGTAGATCATCGATCGACCACACGAAAGAAAAAAGAGACGAGCGACGAGCGAGCGCCACATGTAGATAAGCGGATACACTTGCGATAACTTCCATTGACAGGGCAACTACCAAACACGCACATTGCCGCTGCATTTGTGTACGTTACGTGTTCCGCGAGTAGAGCAGCCAGACGCGTCTTCGGAATCGAATCTCGCACCCTATCGATCAGACACTGTGCTCTGCTGTACCCCGGGTGGCATTTACACTTGCTGTTTGTATCGCTCGTTGACTGCGCGAATCGGGTGGCGCCCCTGCTCTTGCCCGCCCGCGTCAACAGCCAACCAAGCAGCAGTCGACACCTAGCAGCTTCCGTCCATAGCCGCGACAGCGTCGTGTCGAAGGACATGGCACGTCCATTCCCAGCTTAGCAATCGAGGTTTTTCCCCCTCTCCGCGCGCAGACGGCCAAAAGATAGATAGTCACCGCCCGCCCGCTCGCTCCCCCCCACAATCCACACCACAACAGCCACAAGCGCTGTGAAAGCCGCTCACTTCTGAATTTGCCGTCTCAGACACAGCAACGCCAGTGGAACAAATCTCCACTCTCTCACTCGTTCACTCTCTTTCAGACTCTTTTCCTCGATCGCAAATGGCGTTCCGTCACGTGTTCTCGACGCAAGTGCGTCACATGAGCGCCCGCAGCGGCCGCAAGTTCTTCGTGGGCGGCAACTGGAAGTGCAATGGCTCGCTGCACCAAGCGCAGGAGCTCGTGGGGATGCTCAACACGGCCAAGATCCCGGCCAACGTCGAGGTGGTCGTTGCGCCGTCTCAGGTGCACGCAGCGACCGTCAAGGCGGCGCTCCGCGCCGACGTGCGCGTCAGTGGCCAGGACGTGTGGACGCAAGGCAGTGGCGCCTTCACGGGCGAGACGTCGGCCGAGATGCTCAAGGATCTGGGCGCCGAGTACACGCTCGTGGGCCACAGTGAACGCCGGGAAAAGGGCGAGACCAATGAGGTTGTGGCCAAGAAAGCGGCCTATGCGCTGGAGAAGGGGCTGGGCGTGATCGCCTGTATTGGCGAGACCAAGGAGCTGCGCGAGTCGAACCAGACCGTCGCGTTCATTACCAAGCAGCTCGATGCGTATGCGGCAGAGATCAAAGACTGGACGAACGTTGTGATTGCGTACGAGCCCATTTGGGCCATTGGTACGGGTCTGACGGCCTCGCCCGAGCAAGCCCAAGAAGCACACGCGAGCATTCGAGCCTGGCTGAAGGAGAAGGTCTCGCCCGAGGTAGCAGAGAAGACGCGCGTCATTTACGGCGGCTCTGTTGGTGCAAACAACGCCCCTGAGCTCTCGCAGAAAGCCGACATTGACGGCTTCCTCGTCGGTGGCGCGTCGCTGAAACCCGACTTTCTGCACATTATCAACGCCCAGCACCCCACCGAGAAAGTGGGCGGGGCAGTGAATGTAGCCATCAACGGCTTTGGCCGCATTGGTCGTCTCGTGCTCCGAGCTGCGGCGAAGAACCCGTTTATCAACATTGTTGCCATCAATGACCCGTTCATCTCGACGACCTACATGGAGTACATGCTCGAGTACGACACGGTGCACGGACGCTTTGACGGCGAGCTCTCGCACGACGAGAAGCACATTTACGTGAACGGCAAGCCCATTCGCGTGTTCAACGAGATGGCACCGGCAAACATCAAGTGGGGCGAGGAGCAGGTGCAGTACGTGGTAGAGTCCACGGGTGCGTTCACGTCGATCGAGACGGCGTCGGCTCACATGAAGAACGGTGTCGAGAAAGTGGTGATCTCGGCTCCGTCGGGCGATGCGCCCATGTTTGTGATGGGTGTGAACCACGATCTGTACGAGAAGAACATGCACGTGGTGTCGAACGCGTCGTGCACGACCAACTGTCTGGCTCCGCTGGCCAAGGTGGTGAATGACAAGTTTGGCATCAAGGAGGGCCTCATGACGACCGTGCACGCCGTGACTGCGACGCAGAAGACGGTGGACAGTCCGTCGAAGAAAGACTGGCGTGGTGGCCGTGGCGCTTGCTTCAACATCATCCCCAGCTCTACTGGCGCTGCCAAGGCTGTGGGCAAGGTGATTCCGAGTCTGAACGGCAAGCTCACTGGCATGTCGTTCCGTGTGCCCACGTCGGATGTATCGGTCGTGGATCTGACGGCGCGCCTCGTGAACCCGGCGTCGTACGAGGAGATCAAGGCTGCGATCAAGTCGGCGTCGGAGAACGAGATGAAGGGCATTTTGGGCTACACGGAGAAGGCCGTTGTCTCGAGCGACTTTATTGGCGACTCGCGTTCGTCCATCTTTGATGCGAGCGCGGGCATCGCCCTGACGGATGACTTCGTCAAGCTCGTGTCCTGGTACGACAACGAGTGGGGCTACAGCTCGCGCGTGTTGGACCTGATTGAGCACATGGTCAAAAACGAGTAAGCGTAGACGTGTTGCTACTGGAACGTAGAGTGACTGACCATCCATGTTCGTACGAAACAAATAAAATACCTCAGCGTGCTTACAACGCGTGATTGCTTGCAGCGTATCTTTTTGCAATTGTATGTAAACTACTACAACAACGACAATAAATTACATGCGTTGCAGAGGTGTGTAAACTACTGTAGCAAGGCCAATAAATATTTGCAGGCTACAATAAACCGTTTCGTCAGTAAAATGAATTGCCATCATCAGTGCTTGCAGAACGTCGACAATTATGCCGCATCAGCCATTATATTGCAATAGTAATTTCTCAAAGCATTATCGACAATGTCGCTCCTCGTTCCCGACTACGCGAGCTCCTCGGAGGACGAAGACGCCTGTCGCTCGTCCGCTGCAGCTCCTCCTTCGGTCTCTCCTCCTGCATCTGCACCACATCCTCATGCAGCAGCAGTAGCCTGTGAGACGCCCGTCGGCGGTCCCCGTGACGTCGCAGCGGTCGCGCCGTCCAAGCAGCAGCGCAAGGGACATACAAAGAAAAAGACAAAGAAGACAAAGGGACGGATCAAGACGACGCTGTACCTTCCACCAGAGATCCAGCGGCTGCTAGAGACAGGTGCTGGTGGTGGATCGCTCTCTGAGGACAGTGAGGGCGGCAACGAGCTGTTGGCCAAGCACCGACGGGCCAAGAAGGCCGTCGCTAAACGGCCACGACCGGTGACAGATGATCAAGAGTCGGTTTTGTCGTTCCTCCCACCTCCAAAGCATGAGCTTCCAGCTACCGAACCTCATGTCGATACTGCTGCTGTGGATGTGGGGAACAGAGTGGAGGAGAAGCAGACGTGGGTGCCAGCTACAGAAGCGTCCACAGGTCAGCAGCCAGTGGACGAAGCGACAGCTGCGGCCAATGCTGCTGCCTGGCAGCAGTACTACCAGCAGCAACAGTATCAGGCCAGTGATGCTGCAGCAGCAGCAGCATCAGCTCCACACGAATATTACGTAGCACAAGGAGAAGATGACGTTGTGGGGGGCAGCTCCAAGCGGAAACGGACGCGGGAACGAGACATTGAGCGTGCACTTCAAGCAGGCCACTTTGAGACAGTGGCGGAGCAGCTTGCAGAGGTGCAAGGCCCGTTGCCGAATGCCTGGCAGCCACCAGTCAACCCGCTAGCAGGCTCGAACGGATCCAGTGAGACGGACGTGAAGGTGAAGGCCAGCTTCTGGAACGCGCAAGCTGGCACGACAGTGTCGTCGGTGAAGCCCAGTCGGCTGCAACGGCAGAAACACCAGTTGAACCAGCTAGCGTTCGATGCTAAAGCGCGTGACTTCGACCTGCTGGACAGACGTAGCGCGTCAATGAAGACGAAGAGGGAGACGCACGCCAAGTACGGCTGGTAGTAGGACATGCGTATGCGCCGAAAGGAGTGTCTTGTTACAGCACAGCTCTTGCTAGTACAATTGCACACAATCAATCCTACGCATCTTCTGCTTCTCACGGCATACTTCGATCCGCCATCGCCGCTGTTCGCTCCTCTACTGCTTCAGCGGAGACACCTTCGGGGCCTTCTGCGGCCAGCTTTTTCGCATCCTCGTGCTCTTCGCTACCGTCACGCTCGTGCTCGTCCTGATCCGCCTCGTTCAAGTACTCTTCCGTGAACACCTCCATGTCATGCTGCATTCGAGCCGTCTCCGCCTTGCTGACATTGCCGCGGCGGTCGGCACCCAACGTCTTGAGTTTGCGGCTGCCCTTGCGGTGCTTGCTGCTCTCGCGTGGGTACACCTTCCGCACCAGCACGAGATCAGGAAGCTCCCCCTTCAACGACAGCGTTTGGCACGTGCCAAAGATAGCTGAAGAGAGATCGTAGCCCTTGACCGTGTCTCCTGCAGTCAAAACATTGCCGAGGTGCGTGCGCACCTGGAACGTCGTATCGTTCACGCCAAAGTCGCTTGTGCGAGCTACTTCCACGTCAGCAACGACAAACCTCGACGCGTGCCCTTTGCTCGAATTGGATGCAACACCGACGTGGCGCAAGTCACGCGGATCCACAGGGTCCACGTCCAGCACGATAAACTCGACCATGTCCGAGCTCGACGCTAGTGGCAAGAACGGCAGCTTCCAGTACTTGTCCGTCGACAACTCTGCCTTCTGTCCTGACACGGGATCCACCAGATGCACCATCGACGTCGCACGCGCACACAGCGTCAAGTCGGCAATGTTGCCACACGCCTGTGCGACTTTTCGCGGCAACACGAGCAAGTCATCTTTGCAGATCGGACTCAGTTCGACGCTGTACGTGAGCTGCAAGTTGGCGGTCGAGTTGTGCACGTTCTCCGAGATGAGTTTGCTCGACGTCTTGGACCGCATCGGGACGTGCGCCGACAGGAAGTGAAGAAACCGCTCGGCCGTTGACTTGGAGCCAAAGTAAAAGTCCATCCCTTCCTTCACTGTAACAATGCCAATCGCGTCCTGGTGGGCGTTGTGCTTGAGGATATCCTGCTCCAGTCGCAGGAACGTCCGCTTGTGGTCGGCTTTCTGCCGGATCTGCACGAGCGCCCGCCACGTATTGTTGTGGTAGTGCTTCGTACAGTCGGGACACTTGGTCGAGTGAATGACAAACGCCACGATGCACGTGTTTTGAACCACTGCGTGGTTCGCCACCTCTCGCTGCAGCGTCAGCCGCAGCTTGACCCGCTTCGAGTGGGGCTCGGTCCAGATAAACCCAGCGTCCAACAGCTTGGCCTTGTGGAGTCCAGCAATGCTCTTGAGACAGAGCGCCATGAGCTCCTTCGACTCCCAGTCGCAGTCGAGCCACGCGCCCGAGCTGCTGCTGTACTGCTGTGTCTTGCCCCGCGACTGGAAGCGCAGGCAGCCGCGACACTGCACGAGCTCACCCGTTGTGTCGATCCCTTCAGCCACGTCGACCTCCGAGGCGATGCAGGACGGGCACATGTTCAGAGCGTTGGCGTCGATCTGAGCGCCGCACATGCAGCACGCGCTATACAGAAGACAAAGACACACACACACACAACACACAACACACAGCACACAACGAGAGGCAAAAGAGCAGAGAAACGAGAGAACGAGTGGGTGAGACTACGGAGGGCGCATGCAACAGAGACAGCGGGAGAGAGAAAGACAGACAGACAGACAGACGTACATGGTCATGATGACGGACGAGTTGGGGGATTCGGTCGTTGTATTGTTTTATTCTTTGGGCGAAAAAAAACGAATGAGATCTGCAGCGAGCGATGCACTGCGTGGGACTGTGGATCGATATTTTTGGTTTCTTGCGTCGTCTCAGATCTGATGGGGCGGCGGGGAGAAAACACACACGGGCGTTGGCTTTGTGTGTCGTGCGCTGACAGCGTTCTGTGTGGTTACCCTTCAACAACGAGTGCGTGTGTCGCACGAGTTGGAGTGGACCATGAACTTAGTGGCGTAACGTGGTCGTACAGACAAGGTTGCGTACGATTTGTACGATGAGAAAGGAGAGTGCTGAACATTGTACGTCTGTGATGGCACATTGTACGGACAAAGGCAGCACTAGGCAGGCGTCGGAACGGCTGACTCGCAGGATCGCATAGTAAGGCCGAGAAACAAAGAACGCATCCTTGTGGTCCAGAGATCGATATGATCGTTCATGCAAATCCATTAATGTCGTCACATCGATTATCAATTACGTAGTTCAACTGCTTACTTAAGGCTTTGCACGACCAATAGCCTTCCACTCCACCCGAGTCCTCTTCCTTGCGACACCACATCGCCACCCGACCAATTCCGAAATGACAACCACCTGGAGCGCAATGACACTCAACGGCGTTCCAGTAGCATGAACGCTCCAACACCACGTCAGCAACTGGCTCATCTTTCCGTCAAAATCAGGCACCGATACACAAGTCTCTCCTGCTCTCCACAGCACGTTCCTACTCATTACCCACACAGCCAACGCATCACATCAGTCCGAGCTCCAAGTCATCGTGACTTGTTCAAGTTGATCATATCCCGTTCATTCTCACCTGTGTTTCGTGCCTTCTTCTCCGCTCAAGTCTATCGAGTTCTGCTGCCCCACATCTGTCGATCCCTTTCGTACTAGTCGTCGTCATTGGCGACGTCTTCGTTGTCAATTTCTACGTCTTCCACGTGACCTGCCTCGGACATCTCGTTGAAATAGTCCTGCTTGGCCTTCTCCAACGCGAGTGCAATTGCAGCACCGTCTACAGACGAATTCTGCGAGCTAGGAGGACGTGCAGCAACTTCATCAGCTGCACCGTTGCCACCCGCGCGACTCGTCTTGGAAGATCCTGCGGAGGACAGTGAAGTCGAGCTACCATGCAGATCCGCCACTGCATCTCGTAAGCGCGACTCCACGTTACGGAGTTTCTCCACTATCTCGGGGGCGATCGAAGCGTACTTCTGCATCCAGCGAAAATCACTGAGCAGTTTGCCATCTCCTTCCGTCGAGCCGTGCGCTACCATCAGTGCATTTAGGAACTCAGCGTTCATCAAGATCTCCTGCTCCACCGACTTGACCTTGGCCAATTCCTGCGCGTGCTCCGAACGGACTCTTGTCAGCTTCTCTTCCTCATCGAACAAACTCGCACGAAGCTCACTCCACTCCGTGATACCACAGCATGCAGTCAGATTCTGGTATAGCGACTGCACTTCAGCAGCCAACGAAGCAATTTCTTGTCGAGTACTGCTAACGTTTTCAGCGTAGTTACAGTCGATCGGCCGAAGTGCATCCGCGCGCTCTTCAAGATCTTTCAGCTTGCTCTGCAGTTTGCCCAACTCGTTATACTTCGCGCTCTCCACCGCGCGAATCTTCTCGCGGACAGCAACGACAGCAGCAGTCAACGCCTTGTTTTCAGTGCGCAGTTCTTCGACTTCGCGCTCCTTCGTCTCTGTTCGTCGCTGGAACGACACCTCACGCTTTTCGCGATCTCTCTCCTCTTCTTGCAGCTGACACTCCAGCCGACGCTTCTCCTCTCGCAAGGAAGCCATCTCGTCAGCAAACTCGTCGGATCCGATGGCAACGACAGCAGACTTGTGGTACTGCTCTTTCAGGTCTCCACGAAGTTGCTGCACCATCGACTCAAGCTCACAGATTTGAGATTGATGCTCCTTCACGTGATTGCCCAGCTCTTGGGCCGTGGCGCTATCCACAGCAGCCTGCTTCACGGTTAGCTCGTACTCACCCTGGAGCCTCTCCAACTCGTGCATCGTACGGCGGTGTGTCGCGTACAGGCTGTCGAGGTGGTGCGTGATGGCGTCGTCATCACTCAATTCTGCGCCGTCAATCACCTCATTCTCGCCCAAGGCGCTCGCAGCATGCACCAACTCCTCCAAAATACGTTTGAGGCGCGACTGCAGCTGTCGCTCACGGTGCTGAGAGGCCTGTAGAGACGCTGTTAGCTCAGTCAATTGGCCCGTCAAGTCCGAGCGGACCACATCCGCTTCCTTGCTCGACTCAGCCTTCAGTGCCTTGATATTAGCAGAGAGCCTGGCAATCGTATCTTCCAGATCCTGCTCGCGAGCACGACTGCTATCACGCTCCTGGTTAAGCTTCAGAGTGAGTGAGTCGATCTGGGACGTGTAGCGGCTCTGCATCTCTTCCTGGGTCATCGCCATCTCTACGAGCCGCTGGCGATTGGATTCATCCAACTGCTTTGCCTCCTCAAGCATCGCCTGCTTCGCCTGCAATGTGCTTGACACTTCGGCAAGCTCAGCATAGAGCTTGTCGACTTCCGCTTGCATCTGACCCTTGGCAGCAGCGAGCTCCTCCTCCTTTTCAGCAGACACGCCACCAATGTTCGCCTCTATCTGAGACGCATCTCCCTCGAGACGAGCCTTGATCGCTTCAAGCTCTAGAATTTGCGTAGTGCATGCATCAATCTTGCTTCGCGCCTCCTTGATCTCGTCTATGAGACTAGACACCTCATGCTGCCGTATCGCTTCCTGACTCTCCAGTTCCTTCTCGAGCTCGGCGATCGTCACCTTGCTCGTTTCAAGCTCAGACTTGGCACCTTCCAGCTCCGATATGCGCTCTTCAAACTTTGACCTTATCGAAGCAAACTCGGTCGCGAGCGCTAGACGGAGATCCGTCTCCGTCTGTAGCGTGATACGCTCGTGCTCAATCTGCGTGCGCTGAAGTCGTTCCAATAGCTCGTTCTTCTCGTCTTTCAGCGCAGCCAGCTCGACCCCGACTGCGTCAATGTCGCCCTTTCCAGCGACCGTATTGCAAAACTGCCGCATCGCCTGCTCTTTGTCTGCAAGTAGCTGCTTCAGCTCACTAATCTTGCAATCATAATCGCTCGAAAGCCTGGTGATGGTGTCTTCTACAATCACTTTCTGACTTGCCTTCGCCGCATTGAGCTCTTCCATCATCTCCTCGACCCTCTGCTTCAGCTCTTCCTTCTCTAACTGGCTCTCAAGAAGCGACTTCTCCAACCCCTTGCGCTCTTCACTGCTTGTAGCTGTCAAAGCAGCTTGCTCCTGAATAACATCGCCCGTTTGATGTGCTGCAGCCACGCGCTCCATTTCCTTCAGCTTCAATTGCGTAATGAATAGCTCGTGCTCCTTTGTAGCCTTTGCACGACGCATGGTCGTAGCTTCTTGCTTCGACAGGTCCAGCATCTTGGCAGAAGCCGTCTCGACACGCTCCAGCGTCTTATTCAGCAGTGCAATCTGGGTCTGCTTGGCCTGTAGCTCCGACACCAGCCGCCGGACCTCCTTCTCCTTCTCACTTTCCAGTTTGCAAATCCGATCGCGAATTTCGGTCACCTCTTTCTTCGACTTGCGCATGAGCTCACTCTTCTTCTCGTTCTCAGCCTTTTCGCGAGCGAGCAGGTTCTCCAACAACATGTTCTTTCCCTGTGCAACACCCATCAACTTGCTCTCCTCCTGCAGCTTTCGCACAAGCTCCAAGCGCTGCGCTTCCTTCTGCTCCTCTATCGTAGTCAGCGTCATACGGAGCTCCTTCAACATCGCTTCGTGTTGCTTTTCCTCAGCAGCAAAACGGTGCTCGACTTCTGCCTTTGTGGTAGCCAGGGCTTCCAGCTCCACTACAGCGCGAGCGAGACGCTGACGCAGCTTGTCAGTCTCCACATTTTTCTCCACAGAGCCATGGCTTGGTTGCTGACCAGACTGAGCTATGTTCGTTTGCAGCATCTTCGTGGCTTCCTCGAGCTTCAGTTGCTTCTCAGCAAGCTCGGCGAGCTGGTCATCGACCACACTCGACTTTTCCTTGTTTCCACTTGCAATCTGCTGCAGCTTCTCTTCCATCATGGCTGCAGCACTATACTGTTGGCTCTGCAGCGCCTGGCTGAGCTCATGGCGCAGCGAGTCACTAGTCTCTTTGACCTCCTGCAGCTTCCTCTCGTGCAGACTCAAGACGCTCGAGAGCTGTGCCACCTCTTCCTTGTTCTGCAGCTGGGCATCTTGCAGCGGAAGTAGTTCACTTCTGCGCAGCACCGAGCTGTGCAGACTCTGAATGTCATCCGACAAATCACTCTTCAGTGCCGCTAGACTTTCCTGACGCTGCAAGAACGACTGCTCTTCCAAGCTTTGCACCTTCTGCTCCATCTTCTCGGCCATGCGGATCACCCTTTGCGACAAGCGGTCCTCCATTTCACGAAACTCGCGCGTGAGACGAATGCTCAGCAAGTTTTCCACGGCTTTCATGTCGACTAAGCTGCCCATTTGACGGTGCATCAAGTGCACTCGGTCTGCCAACTTGAACAGCCCTTGTTCCTGCTTCTGGCGGTTGGCAACAAGAGCCTCGACGTTGTCCTCCAGCGTCGAGATCTTCATTGTCGTGGACGACAGCGACTTGACGCGAGCGCTGAGCTCGGTCAACTCGCGGTCTGCTCTTGCTTGGCGGTCCAGAACCTCTGCGCTGTGCTTCTCAAGGCGCGCAATGGCAACAGCGCTAGACTGAGCCCCCATTGCGTCCGAGGCTGCGTATCCCGATAGACTGGTACTGCTAGACGCCTTGCGAAGCTCCGAGATCTGGGTGCTCAAGCTAGCAACGTCCGTGCGCAAGTCCGCCACCTTTTTGTCCACGGCACCACTACGCGATGCAAAGTGCATCTCGAGACCCTTCTTGAGCTCGTCCATGACGTGAGTCGGGATGTCACTGGGGATGTCCGCTTCCGGCACGCGGATCCGCGGGCCCATACTGGCGCTCAGCGGTTGCGCCAGCGGCGCGCGACTGTTTGCCTGCAGCGGCCGCCGAAGCCGAGCCGACATGCCCGTCATCGAGCGCGTCTCGTCCAGATCGTAGCGCGCACGGGCCGCACCGAGATCCAGGCCGCCGACACCGGCCGACGCACGATGTTGCTGCAGGATCGCAGCCGTCAAGCCGCCGCCGCCCGCGATCCCCGTGTGGGGATGGCCAGAGCTGCTGCCGCGACTCGACTCGGCTTTGACGCGGTTCAGACCTCTGTGGCTGCTGGACAAGGAGCTGCTGTCGTCGTCCGTGCGGATAAAAGCCTTCGGACGGGCAGACGCCCGCGAAGACGATGAGCAGACGTCGTCGTCCCCGCGGACGAAAGCTTTGGGACGCGACACCGACAGGTGAGAGCCCGAAGACCCCACGTCGTCGTCTCCACGGACAAAAGCCTTCGGCCGCGCGGACCTGCGCGAGTCCGTAGATCCCACGTCGTCATCTGCACGAACAAAAGCCTTCAGACGCGTCACCGATAGATGAGAGCCCGAGGACCCCACGTCGTCATCTGCACGGACAAAAGCCTTGAGACGCGCTGAACTGCGCGAGTCCGTAGACCGCACGTCGTCGTCTCCACGGACAAAAGCCTTCGGACGCGTCACCGACAGATGAGAGCCCGAGGACCCCACGTCGTCGTCTCCACGGACAAAAGCTTTCGGACGTGCCGAGCTGCGCGAGTCTGTGGACCGCACGTCGTCGTGGGCGCCCACGTAGGCGCGTGGCCGGGCCGACATGGACGCAGCAGGTCACACCGACGCGCCGCTGCTGTTGCTGCGGCTGCTGCGGGTCGAGTGAGAGTGGTAAGCGGTTGGGACTCGACTCGGGCGCTGTCGACGGGCAGGTGCGTCTGTCTATGTGCGCACGACGGACGCGGTCGCACGTCAGTAGCTGAGCCGTCGGTCGTCTCTTGACATGGCTGCGCGCCCCGTCTGGCTGCCCATTGCATAGTGAACGCAAGTCACGGGCAGCGCCCAGAGCAAACGACGGTCGACAGTGTACCCACGACGCGTCTCTTTTGCATCGCGTCAACTGGTCGCCCGCCTTACCGCTTGGTGAAGCGACAGCGGACTTGTCAGGGCACGTGATGGCATTGCATCGAAACAGTACTGAGCGACGCTGCAATGAGAGAGGAAAGGACTTTGACGGCGTACCAGAAAGTGATGAGAAGCTACTCACTCGAACGGCGTGCAGCAGTGTGTCGTCGTCACTTTTGTTCAGGTCGCGATTGTCGCGCCAATTGTCGTCGGTCGATCGTTCGTCATCAAAGTCGTTCTCATGAGGTGTCGTCCTGTGGACAAACGACTTTGGGCGCTCCGGCCGACAGTACGATACCACGTGCTTTCGTGCCCCGTCATGAGCGAAGGCAGCCGATACGTCGACTTGCATCTTGTCGGCTCGCACGAAGAGCTGTTCTGTCGGATACCGATAGAAAGTTGACGTGATGGTATAGCTGGCAATGGGGTAACGTCAACTTCAACTCGCAGCAGTGGCATTTTAGCAAGTTTAAAGCAAGACATGGACGCAACGATGACTTTGTGTGCACAATGCATTCGACTGAGAGTGACTGAGAGGCTACAGGAAATGAGCAGGAGAGTTCGGGAGCTGAGAGTAGCAAGACACGCATTCACGAACGCTGTGTGTCTGGCTACTTTCTACTTTGTGAGGATCAAAGAAAGTCATGAACACGGTGACCTGCGGCTCGTGCTTTTGTCATCGTCACGTCACCTCAGTTGGTGATACTGATAGTGTAAGCCTCGCACGCCCAAGGGGTGTACGAAAAGCTGCTATCGCGTCGATACACTGCGCCCGTCTTATTCGGATACTAAAGGTGCGTCACAGTAGTTGCGTCGATCTTTTGTTAACACACATGTGACGATGTTTGTTGCCCACCGAGATATGATCTAAGATCTGAGGTCGAAAATGAACGTTGGCTGAATATTGGCTGGGAACTTTCAAATTTCGACATGTCCAGTTGTCGAATTTCGCACTACAGACGAATGGTTACGACAGAAAACCTCGACAATCATGTCCATATGCCACAAACTGAGGCTACAATTGGCTTAAGTTCAAACCCGAGCATCAACTCAGTAAAACAACGTCCCTCGCGCTCTTTTGCATCAAGTTTTTAGGCGAAGGACTTCGTGAAACGAAAAAATGTCAATTATCTGCAAATGAAAATAGATAGAAATATAAGCATACTTCACATGATGTACAAACAACGCATTTTTACGATCTGCACCCCTTGTTGGCTACCAACATCAGTGTATCCATACTCTTTGAAAGACAGTAAAGCCATGTCACCAAGCCTCGTATCTTACGTGCGTAGCGATCCCTCGACGGCACTATACGCCTACTTCTGTCGGAGCACAACTTATCCTGTAATCTTAAGTCATTGGTAAACAGCTGTATTACACAATTGAGCTGCACCATGTTCATCCAGCTGCGCTGTAGCAGCACGTACCACGAGTACAGCACTTTGTAGCAGGATAGTAAGACGTTTAAGCGCCTAGCAAGCGACCTGTTGCCACACGAGGCAGAGGTCACAATTGAGATGGTTCTTGACGTCGTGAAAGAGCATCAGTGGATTCACGATACAACACTAGACATCGTAAGCAGACATATGTCCGACCTGTTGACGAGTGTACCGGGTATATAGGGAACACTTACTACTTTTCTAAGAAAACATGAATTCCAGTGATGCCCAGGATAAATCATCCAGAATGTGTTTGCTTTTTTTGGCAACAAAAGGTATCCAGCTGAGAGGTGAACGGCTTCTCAAAAGGGTGGACCTAGAGTGTAGCGGAGCTGCACAGCTCCTTAAGTCATAGAAAGACCCCGACGCTCTACGAGCGACTTTGGTTCAACGAACCCGAATCAGAGAGTCAACAAGATCGTGAAGCTCACGGTTCATGTTCCAGGGGACCAACGATTCAAAGAATCACAGCACTTAGTTCTCAAGAAAAGCTACCTTTTACAAGGCTTTGCTAGGCTCTTCTACGATCACAAAGGCACGTCTCTCTACAGGTCAAAATGAGAACTGGGCTTTATTTCTTTTAATCGAAAACAACACCTCAGACGAACGTACTTAATCTGGACACTAATGTTCTAATGAATACCTCCTAAAAGATCTCGTAATTCAATGGCTGACACACGTCAACCCTCAACAACTGATACAGTAGCCCAATACCATATTTAATGAGACTCCGTTCCTTGTGTGAACCACACATGTTGTGTAACCCCGTGTACATAGAGCTCGTGGAACTGTGGAGAAGTGGATCGAAGATGTTGGGATCGCACTGCCTGTTGTGTATTTCTCTGTACGTTGACCTAGATGGTTGTTTTAACGGGGCCCGGCGTTTGATCGCCTAATCTTACGCTGACGGAAGTACTGGCCAGATTGAGGCGATCTTTATTTTTGTCGGTTGTTATGGCCAACAAGTACGTGGACTCCAATAATGCCTGCGCGTTCCGATTCATGATCCTTGATACAAGTCCATCAAAGTGCAGAACCAATTCACCAGTATGAACGAGGTTGGCTCGACCAGTTTCTTTAAAACGGATTGGGTATCGGTGTGAGCCTGTTACATAATATTATCGTATGTGGAAATGTGATGATCAAGAAGATTAAGTTTAATAATCTTACTACAATCTTACTACAATGCCACAACGCTCAGTGATATTGTTGCTGTGACCAAAGAGTCTACCTATTGGGTGATGTACCATAAGACCAACCTACTAATCGCTGCAAGACGCGCTCGAAGGGTGGTGAGTAGACGTCACTATACCTGTTATGGCATTTATATAATTAAGTTAGGACTAATAGAACAAGGCACATCTAGGAATTTAAATAAAACATACTGATGTTCTTTTCTCTTACTAAGCTTTGTTGTTTAGTAATGCGTCTTATTCTGAACGCGTATTGTAGCCAAGCTAGCACAGATCCTAGCCAGAGAATGGCTTTCTGCTTAACGAGCAAGGTAATTCTTTACAAGAACACGACTCTAAGCGTCAACGAGCATACAGCTCCTGGTTCTTGTTCAAAGGACCTCAACAATTCAGTTTATCGAATGTGCAGTGTGCTCGGTAGTCTAAGCCTTATCAAGGCTTAACTATTTTTCGAGCTGAGACACCTTAAAAGGCACGTGTATCGAAAAGATTAAAAGGGAAACTGAACGTTATTTTGTTAAAGAACACCTCAGACTTAACGTACCTAATCTTGACAATTAATGCTCTAATCAGAACCTGTAGGAAGACCTCGTACTTTGGTCGCCGACACACTTCAGCCCCCCCTTACATACTGATAAGGTGTTCTAATACCATTATCAATGGGATCCTTTTTTTAATGTTCATCGCACACGTAATGTCGGTTACTAACCGACGTGTAACCTCGTTACACGTATATTAACGCAACCTAAAAGGTCACTAATCCTCACTGTAGTCAGTGAGAGCTTGCTGCGCACTGACACCAGTGCGTAGCTCCCAGTGCCCCGTTACATCCTGAACGTGAACTGTAGAGATCTGGGCAAAGATTACCAAGCGAGAAACCCATTCGGTGTCAGCCGGTATGGGGTCCGGGTCTAGATCGTTCGGGAATGGGTAACCTTTCGGCTTAAATAAAAGCTGGTTACATTTTCATGACAAGTTCAGTAAGCCAGATGAAGCTGATCCGTCTCGCCGACATTGAAGAAGCGTAGATCCAGGGACACACTCACTGTACACATGGATCCAGCGGCTGCGTGGGATGTTATGGAAGACAGGAGATTCTTGTATTCTTCGAGGGAATGTACCCGTTGACCGTGTCGCGATCCTTGTCAGCAACGCTGATAGCGCCATCCGAATCGCTGGAAACTTCCCCAAACAGATTCACCATCTAACCTTGGTGGAGATCGCGCGTGGCGGCAGATCCGCGAGGTTTAGGGATGGAGACGGGCTGGGAGAGTCTACGATGATGGTCGATCGGGATGTATATGAAGCAGTGGGGGTCGTAGTGGAACGACGTGAGGAAGAACGGGATCGCGAGAGGGGTACGAAGGTGGCGGCTTTCTTATGAGCAAAGACAGTACCAGGATTAATATCTCAGTGTTAGTATCGAACAACGATATTGCGCGATCATTGTTGCTTTTTCTTAAGGCGTCAGCTTGCCTAAACCACTTAGTAGGAGCTTCGCGTTTCTAATATCTCATGGTTCGCCCGGCTATAGGTCTACATTTATACTGCATTTTATCGAGCCAAATTATGAGGCCTATATAGAGAAAATAGACGGTCCATAGAGTAGTTTCCAATCTCTGATATATACATTCAATCTTTTAGCTGGTGTATCCATCTCTTTCTCAGGCTACTTTTTTTCTTCACGTATGCAAATATATATCAATCAGAACGCTCGGCTCGTACTAGATCTAAGCTGGGAGACCCATTCGGTCTCCAGGAAGACGTCTGCTTCTGCAATTGCGGGCGACGACTCAAAAATTAATGACTTATGTTTGCTATTCAAGGATGTTAATACCCTGGGTACACGCGGGTGAACATCTTATCTGCAACGGAGATACAATAGCTCTTTGCCAGATAAAGGCTTTTTACTCAAAGATCAACTTAATTTGTTCAAAGACCATTAATTTATTAAAATTGGCATGCTTAGAGCTCATGATATTTGTTCACGGAACCTGACGATTAAAAAAAGGATAGCACAAATTGATCAAGAGGATACGCCTCACCAAGGCTTGGATTTTCTTACAAG